TATCTCCGGCCATATCACTTGCCATGTGCAAAATGCCAGGGAAACCTCAGTGAATGTACGCATTTGTGTGTTTGCTGTTTCCAAAGCATTATTACTATTTTGTACAGGATCTCAGGCTTACATCTCATTTAAGATGTTGCATGCCCTTACCATACCCCTAACATCATGCCAGGGCCCTGGCTTGGCTTCAATTCAGACTCTTCATCTACCAAGCATTCAACCCCCCTGTTCCCTGATGCACATGAGATGATTCCTGATAGTTTCTGAGACCCATTCTTTTCTTCTTAGCATGAGAGATCAGAGATGAGTACAGCACTTGGTGACATGGCATGTTGGGCTGCCCAGGCATGCCATGCCACACCAGGCTGCGCATCCAGTCACAGCTCCCATGTCTGATTATTCAGCTGACAAGCTATTGGTGCTCAATTGGTCTCAACTCCAGGTGACAAATACTTGACCTCCATCAAGTAGCTGGTGTAAAAATGCAATGGTCTTCAACTTCATGGACTTCACAATGTAAATTGTCAATAAGACGCAATAGAGATAAGATCTTGGCTCTAGCATTGATATGGAGAAGTTTGACCCCACCAAGGGCCACCGCAAGGTCTAGGCCTCAAAGACATGCCAGTTAAACTACTGAAAGAAGAATTAGCTGACAGGATGCTTCCCCCATCCTTGCCCATGAAGGCAACAGGCCAAGCTGGAAATACCGGGGCCTTGCAAGTGGAGGTGCTGGAAACTTAATCAACAAGAACTGCAGCCAAAGCCTCTTCAGCTGGCATCTTGAGCCATGTACAAGGAAGGCAGGGCTGAGAGAAGTAGGGAGGGCTGATATTCAGGAGGGATTAGTGGAAAGAGTAGAGCCAGACAGACAGAACGGAGGCACCTTGCTTTGCTTTGGTTCTTTACTGAGATTCAGACTTTCTTCCTGGTTGAGAAGACAGGACAGTGTGACGCGAAGGACCTGGGAGTGTCTATGACACTACCTCACTCCCTCCTTGGGTTCTGTTGGCTCCTGGGGTTTTTTTGGACAACTAAAGATGAATGGTTTAAAACCAGTTCCAGGCAGCCCCAACCTACACTTGCCTTGTGGCCAGCTTATGTTGCCAATTGCAGTGTGGCACACTTATTTGCAGGGAATAGTAATTACCATGTCTCTTCACCTCATTTTGGGTAAATGAAAAGTGTTCAGATAGTTGTACATGAACATGAGGGATCAGTGGCCTTGGTCAGAGCCAGTCCTAGGAGAAGCAGTTTCTCCAGGCATCTCCATCAAGGGTCCCACCATGGCAGCTCCAGTCACAGATCTCTAAGTGGAGAGATCGTTTCTGGTAATAAATATTTAGCAGGGGCAAGGAGGAGGCCATATAGATTCTCATTCCTGCCTTAAACAGGCTCTGAATCCAGGCCCCCAGAGGCAAAAAGCCACCAACCAACAGAAGCAAGCTTTGCTTTCCCAAAACGCCAGCTGAGTATATGGTGCTTATTATAAAACGCAAGAGACTATAAGCAGAGCAACTGCTGTGTGCACTAAGAGGCACAGTCCCAAGTGACTCTGATTTCCTTTCGGAAAAAGGAAGTGGCCTCTAGGAACCAGGCAGTTACACATGTGCAATGGAAAGACAGTTGGCCACGCACAACTGCTCAAGCCTGCAATGCGGTTCCCACCATCTGTCACTACAAGAACGTTTCAGTGAAAGCCAAGGGGACAGCAGTGGCAAACAGCATGAAATCGTGTGACCACAGCTCCCCCATAACTACAGGAATGAGTTGCTGACATGTCAATTATTAATAATGCATAAGCTTCATCCTGCTATGTGAAGTCGCTTAACGGGGTTTTGTGGGCTAATTGTTTTGCCACTGTTTGGCTCTTCCCAGTTTATGATTTAATTTTAGGTGAAAAAAAAAGTTGCTATTCAGGGGGTCAGGTAACAGGCTGGGAAGCAGCTGAATTTAATGTGTCCATCTGCCAATATGAACTGTCCAAAGGGAATGTGTTCTGGGAAGTCAGGTGAAGTGCAGCATTTTCTCCTCATTAATGCTGCGATACACAATCAACAGCTCAGGCAGATTGGACTGGGGCAGGAGGGAGGCAATAACAATGTCCAAAATCAAATAGAACCTGTCATCCTCACTCCTGAAAGCTATGAAAACCTGGATACTTTCCTCCCATCTCATTGTTTTTCATGGTTGGCATATTGTTTTGCCTATTAGCATAAGAACTAGAGCTGAGCAAGACACAGATTTGCTGTCCTGCTAAGGCTTCTGAGACACTGCCATTTTTTTTCCTGATATTCTGTTCCTGAAATTTCAAAAACAAAAAACCACAAACTTATTTTCAGGCGGGGAGAGGCGCATGTTAAAGGATCCGGTCAATGGAAATCTTTCATTCTGAGAATTTCAAAATGTTCTTTTCTAATTTTGACATTTGAAAATCGCATAACTTTTTAGAATATAGATGAACTGGCATTTTTGAAACATGCTGAAAAATTTCAGGACTTTTTTTAATCCCCCAAATCATTTAGATTGAGAAGATTTCTCCACCAGATCCTCTCCCAGACGCAGTTTTGATTTTGGCAAATCAGCTTTCTCCAAAGGAGAAAAAAAAACAGTTCATTTTACTTCTGTTTAGTTAAACACCGACTGTTATCTCAACACCAAATCCCTTCCTGTGTTTTGACTGTTTTTCTAGCCATTCTAAATAGGTAGAAATCAAGCATTTGATGTTTTAGAGTGCAGACAGCAGCAGTCACTGCCCAGTCTTCCTACATTACTACTAGGCGGTCACTGCTGACCACCTCCTCTGCAGGCTCTCATTGCCAACCGAATACACTGACAGCTGTTTCTCAAGTCATCTGCCCTGCCCCATCAGCAGCAACATCTAAGTAGCTCACCTCACTGGGCTCAGCTAAGCTGGAAATCTAGCGGGTAATGAGAGAAGTTTCAGTTCCCAGACAGGTGGCAGAGCCAATGCTCTGGGGTTTCAGTAGACACCAGCTGAGCATAAGATGCTGTTCGTGCCTCCCATTCTGGTCAATCCCCTCGAGGATGGAATCAGGAAGGACTTATCCTGCTATGATGACAAGTTCAACGGTGGGAGCAGCACCTGCGAGGATTTGGGAGAGATGGAAATAACTTTGATTGACCTTGGGCTTTCTTTTTTGATTGATCAATAAGGCTTTCTTCAGGAGCTTATGGAGGAGAAAAGGCTAATGGACTTCAGTGGTGTGAACCACTGGAGTGCCGTAGCCCATGAGGGGCAGTCAGACACTGCACTTGGACAGAGAGCCCAAGACAGGGGTCAAATGCGGTAGTCTGTGGGCTTGCCCCAGGAATAAACCACACGCTCCTCTTCCAGGAGTCTAAGCACGGGCCCACCCTCTAGATAGACTAGAGGTGCCACTGGCAACAGGAGATGTCCTTACATTTCAGCAAACAGGCAGGAGTCTTTCCTGGGATCTCTAAGTGGCAGGATGCGTCCAGGAAAACTGATCTGTCTGAACGCTGTAAAGATTTTTGGGGTGCTGCCTTTGTGAAGGGCAAATGGAGAATATGGATAATGCTACTCTTGCAAGTGACTTTTGGCCACCACATCCCTCCTCTGCAACCCAAGAGGTACCGGGAATTGGATTCATCATTCACAACAGCAGGGATCACAATGGGGAACACATGCTTCTGGCCAGCTGTATCTGTGAGGGGCACATACTTGGAGCCTTGCTACGAAATCATGGGAACGTAAGAATGTGGAACCAGGTAAGCCAGATTCAAGACTTATCGTTGGCTCTGATGATTTGTTGTTATTTGTCTTGACTTAAGCCAACATGTGGCTGCTTTGAGGCTATTGCTCAGTTTTTGCAGGACCCTTGGAAAGGGATTACCATTCCCCAGACCCTCTCCTATTTGTGACTTCTCTGCCTCTCAATCCATTTCAGATCTCAGAGTGATACAGACCTCTGTCCCTAAAAGCCAACCTAGAGTGGGGTGGGTGTCACGGTCTGCAGGGTGGTGTCTCAGGTCTTCAAGGGTGAAGTAGACAGAGTGAGGGACCCTGAAGTGCTGGCTTCTCAAGATAAGAGATTACAGGTAGGAACATCTTCTGGGAATGGCCCAGCACTGGGGTGATGAGTAACCACTTATGCTCTTTTTCATTCATTATACTGGATCCAGGAAGGTAACGTGATGTATTTCATTGATCTGTTTTCCTGTACCTGTTAGTACGTCTGCTATTGATTCTCCAAATGAACTTCCTAAAAGAGAGATCTTGCCACTTTTGTGAGATTCTCAGAGAGTCCTGGGCTGCCTTTTCTCCCAGGCCCCTGTTACTTTGTGCTCCAAGTTTTATTCTGTTTTTCCCTGCTGGCCTGTGAACTTCAGCCTGAAAGTCACTATGCCAGAAGGGCCAGCTGCCAGTCAGTTTACACTCACACTGTGGTTTATTCTTTGGGTTTTGTACTTTTTCCATCCTGCACAGAAATAGGGAGGATGTTACATTTCTGTGTTTACATATGTACTTATGCCATTGCCATTCATGTGGGCACTACAGAAATGGTAGGAAACACAGCAGTGGAAACAGAGTTGGGCACGGTGGTCCATTCTAGAAAATTAAAGGGGGAAAAAGGATCAAGAAAGGAAGAGCTGGAGAAGAAGACAGGACAAAATGACCAAAGATAAACCAACCAGAAGAAAGAACTCTTGTCCCCTTCCATTTCAAAAGACTTAAGAATATAGTTTGGGATCCGCATCTGATTTGTTGAAGAGCTTGATCAAGGGGCCCCCTGGATATCCCTTGGGAGACAGTAAATCCACAAAGTCAGTCCCCACTGAATTACTGCATGTTGCATGAGTTTCTTCAGAGAAAAGAAAATCTGCATCCCTTCTCCTAAGTCCAGCACTGTGGTGGACTGTGCTCCACACTTAACATACCACGCCACTGGGACACCTAGAACCAAAAGCAGAAGCAAAGAGATGCTAGATTATTTTTGCATAGCTCTGTGTCACTGTGCGTATGTCTTCGGCGGCGGAACCCAGCTGACCGTCCTCGGTAAGTCGCTCTACTATTTACCTACAACCATTTTCAAATTGTTGGTGGCTTTGATTTTTTCACTTTTTCTCCCCTGTCTAACCTTTCTGCCCATTCCAGGTCCAGTGCCCTTCAGTTCTCTACTAATCCCAGTGAAAATGTGGGGGGGGGTGGCTTGCTCAGGAGAATGCTTAGAATTAAGTTTGGCATACTCATAGGTTTTTATCACTTGTAAAATGCTTTTGTCCTTTCACGACCAATGCGATCCCACTAATAACATCTTTGGTTGCATCACAGATTTTTCTTTCTTACAGGTGAAGGCAGGGGAAAATGAGCCAAATTTATAATGCAGCCAGCTTGTATTTAAATAATTTATCAAACAGGAATTTCTTTCTTTTTCTTGTGGGAAAACCATCCAGATAAAGGCTGCGGCATAATGAGAAAGTGTGTAGGAGTTTGAAATGTAAGGGTTTTCTTCCTTTCAAAGAAGAAGGGTCTGTCGTTATGTCAGGGGGAAAAAAGTTGCCTCTATGATTCAGAAATGCTCAGACTGACAGTTACTTTTTGATTTTCTGGGTTTGATGCCTTTTTTTTAGGTTACCCTTGAAAAGTTAGAAGTATTGGTGATAAGTAGGAACTCAAAGTAAGGCAACTGGAGCAGTAAACCAACTTAGAATGAGGCAGTTTCCCCTGCTGCAAACATATAAGGATGTGTTGAGGGGGGAGGAGAGTAGGTTAATGATTTTAAAGTATAAAATTTTTAAATAACTTTGAAAGAAATATGTTGACTGTCCAGCTGCTGGAAAAAGTTACAGAGTAAATAATGCATCAGGATACATTCTTATGAAGTAATAGGGTCATTATTACTCATCTCTCTGTCTTTCTAATCATCTTGCCCATCACTATCATATCTGAGTACTTCAGCATTAAAATGATCATACTGAGACTGAAGAGATCCAGAGAGGATCTTATTATGTGGTATGATGATACCTCAGCTCCACTCAGATATTACAATGATGGGCACTATTGGAAAACCGAGGGTTACCAGATAGCCAGTAAAGTTTATAAGAAATACAGAGCCAATTACATACAAAAGATAAATGGCCAGATCTAGGAATATGTAGTTTGGTAAAGAAGTTAGAAGGGATAGTTGAGGTGCTTAAGACAGTAAAAGAATTACTGTGATTATTAGTAGGTGATAATGGAAGATAATTCCTTTTCTACTGCTTGGTAAGTCTAGGGAGCCTCTCTATGGAATGAATGGCTGGTACGTACGTTAAAAGCAAGACTTCTTCATGAGTAGTTAGTTTGCGCAATTCACTGCTGTGGGAGTTGATCCTGTAAAGTACTGTGGCTTGAATTTAGAAAGAGCCGGTTATGATCAGTTAACAATATTCAATGCTGTGGTAGAAGAATTGGTATTTTGTGTGTCAGGACATAATCATATGTCCTGGCCAGGATAGTAGAGTATATGCTCGTCACAGCCTTGCACCTCTGCATTGCAACTGGGCAGGGTTCTTAAAGGTGCTAAAGACCATCAGCTCTCACTGAAATTTATGGGAGCTATAAGGGCACAGTCAGTACCTCTGAGAACCAGACTAATTGGAATTTAGACTTAATTGGAATTTAAATGCAGAGCTGAGCTGCTTGATGCTAATGGAGATCAGAATCTTACGGATCTAGTTTTCAGATACGCTGAACACTTACGGCTTCCAGTGTGAGCTGTGGGTGCTCATCACCTCTGAAAAGTCAGCCACACAAGAGCAGGTCTTATAATCTATGTGCAGTTAGTATATGGGACTAAAGCAAGAGGCACTTTGCATTAGGAATTTCTCCAGAGATGCTCATTCCTCTATAATAGGAGACTGGAAAACCTGGAGCAGACTGGGGTCACCCTGAAAACTTGAGACCTTTTTTTCCCCAGGAAAGCTTCTTGGCAAAACTTAGGTCTTTTTAAAGAAACCGTAGGATGTCAGTTAAGAGAGAACCGATTCTAGTTTAGAAACCATGAGCCAAATTCCATTCTAGGTTGTATTGCTGTAAAACTGGAGCAACTCAGTGGACTTTATCTATGAGTTTATCTAAATAATGGGTTCACTTTTTAAAATCATGTGCATGTTTGTGTGTGCGTGCACGCATGTATGCACATGCATATGTGTGCACGCATATCTCTAGACTGAGTTGGTGTAAACTGTCACCTCTCAATCAAAGCCAATGCAGCTACAAAAAATTACCCACACTGAGAATTGAGCCGATTCCCTTTAACTCTCATTGATTATCCATGACCGTAAGAGCCCCATGGTAGTACAGAGCTCTTTTGAATGGAGGGTCTAACCATTGCCTATAAGGACTTACATCTAAGAAAGAGCCATTTCCTTTCAGGGAGGGAAAATCTCTCCAATTTTTGATTGCCTCCAAAATTAAAATGTAGAGTGGGGCCATCTGTGAATAATACATACATGAAATATGGGAGAGTCTAGAATGGTCTCAGCTGCCTTAATTTGTTCAGCAATTGTGCCATGATTTTTTGTGGCACTGCCAATTGTTTCTGTACATATTAGCAAGAGTTTTTTGCAAGGCTGAGCTGGGTGAACTCCAGTGTTGTAAGTATCAGACAGCCCTTTTCCCAGTTATGTTGGTGCCAGTGCATTGATTATAGAAGTGCAAATGAGAGGAGAGTTTAACCTACAGGATCTAGTTATTTGGAGACCTGTCAGACAGTCCAAATGCTGTGCCATCATGAGCAGGAGACTGTGCCTTTGGATCCTGCAGCTGGATCTTCACAGGCAGACTTCAGACCTCACTGAGAGCTAATGAAGCAAATGGGAATCCAACAGGGTCTAGCTGTACAGATCTGTTCTTATTCCAAGGACAGCTCGGGGCAGATGAAATGCATCTTTCTCATCCAAAGAGTAAACAGTTTCTTAACCTTGAATTTCTGGGCAATTATGCAGCAGCAGTGCCATTCAACTCCTGATGGGGGAGAGATGATGCTGAGAGTACAAAGAAGCAACACTGTGAAACGGGTTACTCTAAAGAGCATCCCATTGTTACACACAGATGCAGCATTTCCCTAGTAGAATGATCTGTGGCTATGTAATACTCTCATCAATATAAGCACATTAGCAGAGAAATACTTAATACCTCATTTGAAAGGATGGAGCCAGTGTAGAGGAGAGTGTTACTTCAGGGGTCCAGATGCAGCTAGCTGTTCTGTTAAATGCCACAGTTCCCTGAAGGCTTTCTGTATTTTCTATATGGAAGCTTCAATTTTATTTTTAATGTTAAGGGGGGTTTATTATGGTAATTCTTTATCACGTAATGTTTTTCTAAAGATCAGGCAGCTTGTCCCAGAGATCTTCTTTTTAAAATAGATTTCACGGCCCTGCACACCCAGCTTTGTACCTCTTATGAGAGGCATGCAGTGATTTTATAGCCCAAGGATTTAGCCCAATGTATCTAGCAGCCTGCATTGTGCACTGCCACCTTCCCACTCAATGGGACTGATGTTTCCTAAAGTCTCTGCATTATCCTCAGCTTTGCACCTAACTTAATACCAAACCCTCTTGTTCCCTCGCAGGACAGCCAAAGGCCTCTCCTACCGTCCACCTCTTCCCTCCATCCTCGGAAGAGATCAGCAGCAAGAGCAAGGCCACGCTGGTGTGTCTGATAGACGGCTTTTACCCCGGCTCGGTCCTGGTCACCTGGAAAGCTGATGGCACCCCCATCACCAGTGGAGTGGAGACCACCAAGCCGTCCAAACAGAGCGACAACAAGTACATGGCCAGCAGCTACCTGTCGCTGAGCGCCTCCGCCTGGAAGAGCCACGAGACCTACACCTGTCAGGTGACGCACGACGGGAAGAGCATCGAGAAGACCCTGAAGAGATCGGAGTGCTCTTAACCTGCAGCCCCCAGAGGGCTTGCCCAGATCCTGTCCCAGTCAGTAGAGAGCTGGGATCCCTGAGGAGTTGGGATCCTTCTGTAGTATCTCCCTAATGCTGGTTTCCAGCAACTCCAATTTCTACTTTGTGTGGAGATTTTAGCCAGTCCCTTTGACACCCACCTTTCGTTCCATGTATCCATCTCCCGCCCTCCCTTCTCTGCATTCCCTGCACATGTTGTTCCTGCTTTAGTCTCTGATGCAGCCTTGATACAAAATTAATAAAACCAGAAATATTCAACTCTCACTGTGTCTGTAGAAACTTCTCTGCCTCTTGCAAATGTTTAGAAGAATTGTTTAATTTTCCATGGTCCTGCAATAAAAGATGGACACTGATCAGTAAAATAGCTTATTTTCTTGCTGCCAAAAGTTGTCCTGATTTCTACAGGTTTACCCCAGCAATTTTGAGAAAGGTGAATTTAGAAGTCACTGAATAACAGACTGACATGTTGAAAATTACACACTTGGTCCTCCCCTGCACGATGCAGGTCTGTGTCCACTTAAGTCAAAGGTGCTATGCCACCTACAACCAGGGGAAGATCTGACCCTCAATGATTCTGCAGTAAAACTCCCTAGTATCAAGCTGCTCTGGGAATTACAGTTATGATGCTACTTCCCAAGCTGTATCTGGGAAACATTTCCAGAGCAGAAATGTTTAGTTGGCATTCGCTGTTCACTTTCACCTTGGAGATCACCTGCTTTGAAAGTTAGCATGAAGAAGAGGTCTAAGCATAAGTTTGATGTATCACAAAAGTCCCACTTGAACCCCATTTGCTCGATAAGTTGTTCTTACTACCCACCTGTGAGCGTGGGTGTCCTGTGCTGGTTCTGTATGTCCGAGGGACTATCACCCCTACAGTACACCTTAGCATAACATCTAACGGCATTATGTGAGCAGAACTCATACTCCTATAGCCCACCTGGGTAATGAGAATCCCACACTTCTGGCTGCCATTCCTACCACAAGACTAGCAATGAAGATAGAGAAGTGCACGTCCCCATTCAACTCCAACAGCCCTGGGCTTTTCTCTGAGGAAGCAGCTGTCAGCTCCCTGTGGGTGGGAAATTACTGTCTCCTGGGTTACCTGTGAAGAGTATCATCAGGCAGGAGGAGCTTTATATTTATTTTCTTATCTCTTTTCCAAGTCACTGTGTCCCTAGACATTCTCCAAAAGTCAAATACCTCAGTCTGCCTATCCAACAAGACAGGAAATGTCTTGTAGTATATAAGCAGAGGCCTGACAAATACAGTCAGATACACAGTGCAGATAAAAATGGGAGCATGAAATCAAGCTTTAGCCCTAAAAATGCCTCTAAAACTCAGAGATCCACCAACCCATTGAAGTAAGTGGGTCTAGTGCACAAACCTGTGCCCTTCTGTGTGTGAGGGGGTCACTGCTTGTGCTGAAAAGTCAGCACTGCAAAAGAGGACGGTTAGTCTTACTGAACACAAATTACTGGGGGGTCCTTCACCACACCATTAAGGTCCAACCCCAGCAGCCCTCACAGACACTGCTGCCCGGCCCCCACAGACAAGGGGAACGTGAACAGCCAGCAGTGAGGTTCATGGGAGAGGAAGTTCCCCCATGCATGCAGGCTGCACAAAGCCATGAACCATGCAAGGTTGCAGGGGATCAGCACTGCACAGGCCTTGGGCAGGATTGCTGAGTTTCATGCAGAAAGAGAAACCACCAGGGAGGCAGGAATTCAAGTCCCCAGTCTCTCAGGCTAGTACTAGGCCATCTCACTTCAGGAAAAGCAGTAGCAGAGAGCAAGCGTGGTCCCCAGGTGCTGGTTCAATGACTAGTTCTACTTCAAGCACTGAGATTTTTCTCCATGACTAGTTTCTCAGTCTGCTGCAGCATTCGTGAAAGCTCACTCAAGCATTTGAGATAGACAGGCAATCATTATAGCAGCAGGATCACCTGGAGCCAGTGCCTCTGACTCAGGACAGTTCTGCTATCTTGTCAGAGCACTACGTGTCATGGATCTGAGTGACTGCCCATGCACAGCTAGCCTCAACTCACTACTGACAGAGAGGGGAGAAGGACTAGGTGGGCTGCTTTAGAACAGCTTGGAAAGGCTCTTGTCGTATTTCACACTTTTATTCCCCACCCTGTGTTACAGGTCCTGGCCGAACCAGAACAGAAGAGGAGGGGGAGGTTGCAGGATGCAGACACTATAGTATAGACTGGAAAGTGTGTTGCTAATGCCTAGGTCAGCTCAGTGCTGCTCTGTCCTGACCCTGCCCTCCATCTGCACCTGCTCCAGTTCCCCTCTTGTTTCTGTCCTTTGCCCACTAACCCTCAACCAGTCACTGCAGACTTCATCCACAGCCTTGCCTTGCCCCGAAACATGATAATTCTGGGTACAGGTCATTCAGATCTAGGTGGTACCTTTACATGGGTAAGAGGAGATGTGGCGCCCTATGGAGCTGTACAAGCCTAGGAGTCAAACTAGGAGGTGGCCACTTCAGACAGGTCCGGTGTCTCTTAGGACTGCTCCTTGTGCTTGGGGCTTCATCCGTTTCTACCACTGGGATGCTCTACCCTACCTTGGTGTGGGAGCCATACCCTACAGGCTGAAACACAGAGGGAGGGGGCCACAATCCTGCCTCTACCCTGACACATCTGTCAATCTTATGGGAGGAGCTGAAGCCATCAGTCTCCATGCTCCCTGGCTGCAGGAAGAGGGACTGTGAGGGGCCTAGTGCAGCTGTGCAAAGTTGGATAGTGTTCTGCTTGACCCTCCATGACTATACAGGGGCCCTCATGACCCAGGCCTAACAGTTCCCCTGGAGACTCCCGTCCTGAGGACAGTCAGAGGGCAGGTACAGGTTTAAAAGGAGAGATCAACTGGGGACCAAGATGCTCTTGGACCTGTGGAGAAGTCTGTACAGGGTTGTGTTTGCTGATGAAGAATGGCAGGTTGAGCTTCTCCAAGCCCTTCATCTTGCATTGCATTTATCCCAAGCTCCCTCAGGCCATTTGCAACCCTCCAGTGCCACACCAGGGTGACCCCTTCCCCAGCAGACCTAAGTGCTGAGCCCAAAGGCCAAAAAGCAAGTGAAAACAAAACCCAAGGGCTGAACACCAATATTGACTTCATGGCCTACTCTAATCTACCTGACCCCTGATAATCTTTTTGCATGCTGCAGACCTTTTCCCTTTTGAGAGGGCTTAAACTTCTGCTAATCAAGGTAAACTTTCTTCTGTGACTTGTTTTTTCTGCTACTCCTGGAAGTTTCTTCTCTTCTCCAAGTTCACAGCCTTGCAAACTGTATTTAATCCTCACTGTGCCTGCCATTTCCTCAGACCTGAAGGAGAATGCACTGCATTCAAAAGTTTGTCTAACTCTATCCCAACCATGGAGTTAGTCCAATAAAAGATTTTGCTTACAAAAATCCTCACCTCTCAAATAGACTCCAAAGCTCTCCTCGCTGCACCTCTGCCGGGGATACTCTAGGCTTCCCCCGTGCACTGAGGGGTACATCTAGCCCCTTATTCTTTCCACTGTACTGCCCACTTCATTCGAGGTCTCTGCCTGCCTGGATCCTTCCACCTCTGGGAACCTCATTCACTGTGGGGCCCTGCACAGGCCCGGGCTTTGGCCTGCCTGGTCCCTCATTCTTATGAATCCAGATAGTTCATGGTATCTGCCTTGTGCCAATGCTTCCCCATAGGAGTTGTGCTCCCTGCTGGGCATCCCCACTGCATGCTAATACTAGGCTGGTACTTGAGTGTCACTCCCCAAAGAAATGGTTGCATTGCTGCACCTATGTTACATCTTTGTAAAAGGCAGCACACAAATACTAAGACTCCATGTTTCTGAGAGGGCTGGAAGGGTAAATTTCCCAAATCTCACTAGACACCAGTGAGGGACCTGATCCCCTAGCTCTCCTTGGGCATATATGTCACATCTGTGCATTTTTGTCATGTCTTAGTCCAGAAATGGGACAACCTGAGGAAGCTCAAGGGTATATGACAGACGCTCCTTGAAGCCTGCTCCAGGGAGCTGAAATGAAGCTAGAAGAGAGCAGGGGACCTCTACCACTGATCTCAAACAGAGCCAGACCAGTCCTAATGCACCTGGGCTCCAATTACTACCCTTGATAAAGAAAGTAACCTGCTACAATTCACTTCTCTGCCTTGCTGGGACATGGGGCTACCTAAGGCAAGTTCCTATTTATACTCAGGGAGATGGTCCAGTGCCCTGGCTTGGTTCATAGGAAAGCAGTTGAGCATGGACAAGCTTACAGCCTAGATGCTTACTGGAGATGCTTTTGAGGGCAGGCTCATCACAAGTCCACACCCTGCTGGGCTTCAAGCAACAGAGCTGCACCCCTGAGCTCAGGGAGAGGGAATAGCACAGTAATGGTGGGCATGCTGTGTCCCCTCTGCTCAGGGCCAGAGCCCTGGCTCAATGCTGGAAAAAGAGGAAAGTACCTATTAAATGGCTGTGTGTAATGGCAGCAGGCTGACTTCTCGGTGCTGCTGGCAAACCCGCTAGAGGAAAATGTTCACCTCTCTTGCATCCTGGATGCTGGCTGAGCAGACATGCTGTATATTCATACCACTGCTGCATGTGTGGCCACCAACAAGGTAGCATTTTCTGTTGTGGACAAGGACAAGAATTTTACAAAGGCCGTGAGCACTGGGATGGGCTCTTACTTTCCAGGGAGACTGCCAGTCCCCCTGCCTCAGATCCCTACCAGGCCTCAAATGACATGGGATGGTGATTGGTTTGGTTTTGTGGCACACGGATCTTAAGCAGTGTTTTACCATACTTCACTGCAAAATCTAACCTGAACACTTCAGCCATCTTCTACATGGGCCTGCCTAAGAGGACCACATGTCATCATGGTGCAGCTCCTGCCAGGGCAGATGCGCTGTATAACTCCACAAGACCACTCTGCCCCACCTCGATTTTTCTGATGCTTCAGCTCAGGTAAGTTAGGCCTCTGCCCAAGGGGAGGCTTTGTCTTCTCATTGATAGAGCAGGGAAGACCCCACTTCTCAGCTAATAGAGTACTGCATTGTTTGATTGATCTTTGTTCACACATGTGAAGTTCCTGAGGGTCCAGATGTGGCTTTTGCTAACATTTGGTGGGGCCTAAGTCCTTTTTAAATGACTGATTTATTCACAAGGCCTAATGTTCCCAAAATCATGGCCTTGAGAGATGTTAAAATACTGTTTTGTCTACATCAACTGTACAAATGAGTGTATTCAGTGGTGGCAGCCTTTACACACTAGCTAATTCTTCTGGAATTAGAAGGCCATCTTCTTCTGTCACCTGGCCTCTGCTGCATCCATCATTGGGTCCTAGGCACGTCTTCCAAGGAGTG